AATTCTGACTTATAGTAAATAACATGTTTTTGTATTCTTTTTAAAGGGAGAAGAAAAAGTACAATACAATTATTAAATATAAATTCATTGATCCTATTAAGAGTGATGTGATAGACTTTAAAATGTCAATATTTATGGTAAACCAAGATCTGCATCTACCAAAGTTATGATAAAATCTTATCTTCAACTTAAAATTATACACAGCTAAGTGTTTTTTTTTAAGTAGTTGAAAAATCATTGCCCTCAGAATTGTGAAAGAACAAAGATCTCAGGGAGAGCATGAGGCATGTTCAGTTTTGAAGGCCCGTGTGGTGCCAGGAGGCCGTCCAGGCAATGAATACGAAGGACTAACACATGAGCTCAACGCACAATTTAGCCACCAGCCGTGGCATTCATAGAGATGCCCGCCGTGGTCATCACCACCCTATGAAGCTGGTACTGCCCCCACACCACTATATAAATGGAGACAGCGAAGCAGACCTTAGGGAGAGTCACCAATACCACACAGCTCTGCTGGAGAACAGAGTGTAATTTAAAGCCAGACAGCCTCGACCTTCAATAGTCTTTGCACATGATAGCATCTCTCGAGATACCTGGGCCGGAGACACTAATTAGGGAAAGGGATCATCTGTCTTTAGACAATAATGTATCTATGGAGCAGATCACACTGCCTAGGAAGAACACGTATTTATCCTCGGGAAAATGAGAACGTTAGCATTACATAGCCCTGTGAGGATGTTCCTGTCATCCTCTTCAAGAGAAACTTAGCCTTCCTGCGGCTTTCTTTCCCAGACACCCCTCATCTGCAGGCATCACTCTCCCCGGCCACTACACTGTTTATATGCTGCTTCTCACAAAGTCAGAGGGATCCCCGAATAGATTTTCCTACTTCATCTTTGCCCTCTGGTCCCCTACCAGTACCAAAAGATGTCCCAGACAGGAAAGGCCGTGTGTAATAAGTGTGACAATCTTCTTTCTTTTTCAATGTTATCAGTCATTATAGGTATTTTCCAAAATAGACAGCAGGTGAAAGCTCACATACATTGCAAAATACAGCATCTGGATGTAAAGTGGAGCGTCATTACTCATGGCAGAGTGCAGAGTGGAGACTGCCTACTCATGCTCAGTGGACAAGATCATGCTCAACACTGGAATACCTGGAGGTAGCACGACATGCATGAGCCTCTGCAGCATTAGGACATGGGAAATCAAGGCTAAAAATCTGATGAGTGGCAACAGTTGGGGCTGAGGAGATAGTTCAGTGGTAGAGTGCTTGCCTGTCACATATATGACCCACATATAAAACACAGTACCAAAACCCAAACAAACAAGAAAGACAAACTCAATGTTAAATGGCCCAGGAAGAGTGACCATAAAGAACAATCAGCAGAAAGTCTGAGAGGAGAAAAACAAGGAATCTGTGCCGTCTGTCATTACAACAAAATAAGATTTTGAGAAAGAATGAGTCACTGTTGTCAATGCTGCAGAAAGCTGAGGTTCTTTGTAAGGCTAAGAACATCTCTGGCAGCTCCAGGGCAAAAGATGTTTAAAAAAAACAAATTAACTATGAGAAGTTAAGGAACACATGAGATCTCAGAAGTTGCTTCTAAATTAGAGATGCTTGGGCATAACCCAGCACTACCGGGAAAGGAAGAGCAGAGAAGGGAGGTGGAGTTACCACAGGAGACTCTCCCCTGTGGCAGGAGAGGGAAAGATGGAGTTTGGGAATGGAGTGACCCAGGAAGTTATTTCCACTTGTCTTTATTGTTTGAGTGAAGCCAAGGTTCAGTTCACTGAAAGAAGAGGAAACCCGGGTGTCACTCACTGTGAGCTGCATGCCTCATCTTTCCCTTCCTTAACTTCCGGAAGTCAGAGGACAGCAGGTCTAGAAGCATGATTCTCAGAGCCAGTTCTGATTCTGTGAGAAAAGTCCCAAGAATCTACGACCTCTGCCTCTAAAGGAGTCATCAGGAAAGGAGCCTCAGGCTGTTAACACTGAAACACAACACCGTTAAAACGGCCACCGTGAGAGCCAGGGTGGTGTGGGGTGTCACATTCATCCTGGCTAACACTTCAATGTCATCATAGGCATCTTCAAATTTTCCTGGGATATGTAAGAATCTAATATGTAAGAATCTAGACCTTGTTTTGTCTCTTTCCTTCCTACTTTATAAAAGACAATGACCACTGCTTTCTCTCAGTCTCGCCTCCACAGGAAAGGCCAATTATATGCTTAATGCCTCCTAATCTACAGAGATCGTTCATGAAAATCTGCTTTGGTCCCATGACACTCTAGAGAGTTCAGGGCAAAGGCACTTAATTTTCCAATTCCCGAGCAGGCACCCACTATGGCTTGGACATATTTAACTACCAGCCAAGTCCTCGGTGTGGCAGTATTTGGAGGTGACGTAGAACCTTTAATAGTGGTGAATAGCTAGATTAATGAAGGAGTTGCCCCCTGGGGGGGACGTGATGTATCTAGTTCTCCTGGGACCTTGGCTAGCTCTTTAGAGAAAGTCGTTATAAATGAGCAATCATGGCTTCTCCTTGGCTCTCTCACTTCTCCCGCCATTCGATCTCTCCCCTCTCATAGATGCACCCCTGTTATTTTATGCCATCCTCCACGAGACCCTCACCTCACCTCAGATGAACAAATGCCAACATCATGCCTTTGAACTTGCAAGCTTTTCTTGACTCATTACCCAGCTTCTGGTGTCTCATTATGGTAAAACAAAACAGACTAATACAGGTATTAAGAGTTAAATAAACTGGGCAGTGGTGGCGCACACCTTTAGTCCCAGCACTTAGGGAGGCAGAGGCAGGTGGATCTCTGAGAGAGTTAAATGAATTAAGAGACTTGACCATTTATTAGCAAGAGACATGGGATTGAAAGATACCTGTGACTCCCACAGCAGCTGTCCTTTTTCCCACATCATACTCCACTTATAACAGTCTCTGAAACCCTAAGAGGTGGCCTGGCTCCTTCTATCCTCTGGTTATCTTCAAATTCTTAATATTTAAAGTGAAGAAGGCTGTGCTACAATTCTAACACTGTGCCTATGACCCACAGATTTCACCATCCCTCTCCCACAGCAAGAACCCCACGCGCTTCTGAAGCGGCAACATTGCTCACACACACCAGGGACATGCATGCAGCTATAATCACAAAGGAGCCCTGCTCATCTGCCACAGAGGGATAAGATAGCACTACCCAGGGAGCTTAGCAGTGTTGCAGGCTTCTGCCTGAGGTGAAAAATCGACACTAGAAAGTCTTACATGTCTACTGAGCAAGCAAGAATGAAACTCTCCTCCCTATATCCATGAGAACTGGCTTCCTGCTGCTGTGACAAATTGCTATAGACTTGATGGCTTAAAACAACAGAAATGTATTATCTCCTAACTCTGGAGGCTCTAAGTCCAAAATGAATTTGACTAGGATAAAATAAAAATGCAGGCAGGCTGAACGCCTCCTGGGGGCGCTCTAGGGGAGCAGCCACTTCCTCACATCCTCCCCAGCCTCTGGAGGCCACCTGCATTCCCTGGCTCAAGGACCTCTTCTCGTAATGCACCACTCCAACCTCTGTTTCCATCGTTACGGCTCCTCCTCGACTGTCCAGCCTTCCTCCCTCACATCTGAGGACACCTGTAATTGAATCACCATCAAAGAAGATAAGGTCTACGTAATTTTAGCAAGGCAGCCAATCTTTCCAGACAAGGTCTGGCATCAATCAGGAAAGTGCATTTGTCTTTGTTATAAAAAAAATATTACCAATAAAATATGAATGCAATCTGAAGGACCTTCCAAAGCCTCCAGTTTACTTATTCTGCACAGATTTACAGTTGTACTCTAGCGGCCTCTGGTCTACATGGGGCAGAATTCAGTGAATCTCTGAACATGCCTGCACCCTTTGAAAATGTGCATTAATACTCACTTGCCTTGTAGAATGTAGTTATTTCTGTGAAGATCTACCCAACATGCCAATGTTTACCCCTATTTTGTGAAATTCTCCTGTGAAATAGAATAGACGGTGAAACTAGCCAAAACAAACAAACAAACAAAACAAAACCAAAAAGTCATCATGTTCCACCAGCAACAGCATCTCACATTTCCTGCTTCTTCTTACCCTAAGGAATTTCTAGGGCCATCTTCTGTAACAACTTCACCGCCAAATGACCACAGAGGGCCAGCAGACCCGAAAGGAAAGGAAGAATCTTCATTTCAACACAGCTGCGCAGGCTAAGAAAGAAATGGCCAGTCGGGGTATTTCCAAGATAAGCCTCTGAGCATTTTGCATAAGGTTTTTAGCTGAGGTTAAAATCTTTCTCAGACTAAATCAATAAATATCCTCTCATGCTTCAAAGTCACTTCCAGAGTCTTCCCAGTGTGGCAAGTGTCACAGAGACTCTACCCTCCGAGCAGACAGGACAACATCCGGGGCTAACCTGTGGACAGCTGATATCAGAAGGTAAAGGCAGACTGTCTCTCCCGCCCCCACTCCACCAGGCCGAAGAACGGAAACCTCCTCAGTTTCCTCCATCACAACCAGAGCCACTCTTAAAACTTGATAGGGGGCAGGAGACATGCGCCTTCTCTTTACACCTTTCCTTTCTTAAAAGGCAATAATGTCTGTCCCTTCCGGAGACTCTCTCCTCCCAACACAGTGAGGCGGAGAACAGCAGCACACATCGACAGCCCTCCTACAAGACGGCGGCACAGGTGAAGCCACATCAGCCATGTGCAAAAAGGCTGTCGTGCAAAGGAGGGTGAGCCAGCAATACGGCAGACTTCGTGGAAAGAAAAAAGTACAAGGAAATTATCCTGGGAAAACAAGAGCGAGGCGTCCAAAGCTGTTTTCGGTTCCAAAGAACCGAACCACCTAGAATCACACCCAGAAAGGCGAGCGAGCGAGCAAGAGACAGAGACAGACAGAGAAAGAGAGAGAGAGAGAGAGAGAGAGATTTATAACAAGACAATGTTAACATGAAGTCATTATACTCACTGTCTGATGGCTTCTGTCACAGTATCGCAGCCCAAAATAATCTATCTCCACAAGGTTTATGTGACGGAAAACATGGTCAAGGACAACGGAACCTTTTGTTGACTTCTGCAAAATAATCCACAGATTGCTTTTTAACAAGGTGTCGTGTCTTTCTCCAGGGGACACAATCATATTCTCCTCTCTTACGAGCTGTCCTCACGGGAGCATTTGTATTAAACCACGCTACTCGCTCTAGGTTTTGCCTCAGTTACAAAGACAGATGTGCTATAAATTACAGTACATTAAAGAAATGGTCTTTGAAAAATCCCCTTAAACTTTAGGAGCATTAGTTAATATAAGACCCTTCTCTTATGGGATTACAAATTCTCTCCAGGATGAAATGCTTCTTTACTTCTAATTTTATGTGTACAGGTGTTTTTTTCTGAACGTTTGTTTGTGCATTGTATGTGTGCCCAGAGCCCACAGAAGCCAAAGAGAGGGCATCAGAGCTCCTATAACTAGAATTATAGACACTTGTAAGCCACCACGTTGAGTTCTGGGAATTGAACTTGGGTCCTCTGGAGGACCAGCCAATACTCTTAACCACTGTGCCATGTGTCCAGGCCCAAAATGCTTCTTTAAATAAAGATAACCCTCTATATAAATAGCATTCAATAAATTCATTAAAGCATCATGATAGTTAAAATTCCCACAATTCTTTCATTTGAGAAGAGATTTCCCACACACACCAGTATTCTTTTTTTAATTTCTCTGATTTAAAAATTGTTTTTCATTTTACATACCAACCCTTGTTCCCCATCCCTCCTCTTTTCCCCGCTCCCTCCACCTCCTCCATCCCACTCCCATCCCCTCCCCATAGGAGTAAGGCCTCCCTTGGGTAGTCAACACAGGCTGGCACACCAAGTTGGGGCCAGACCAAGCCCCTCCCCCCTGCATCATGGCTGAAATACACCAGTACTGTTAAAAGTATCTAGAATAGAAAATCCATAAAATTAAAATAATAGCCAAAGCTTTTATTTTTTCTCAACCTTCAAAGGCTAAATCCATAGATTAAAGCTGCTAAATATGTGTTGCAAACCCTCATGAGGACATTTTACATGATCTCTTACACATGAGCACAGCCAGAAAACATTCATCTGGGTTGTATTTTAAGTGCTGGCACCTATAGAAAGTCTACCCTGTCTTCCCCCGTCCCCAAAACACATGCACAGTATAAGTACGGCCCTTCCATAATTATCTGAAAATCCAAGAAGCATGTAGGCAGCACGCAGCATGCCGCCCTGGCCTTGACAATGATCTGTCAGGACAGCACAGGCGCACGGGAGTCAGAGCTTCCTTCCTTGGCCTCATCATGGGCAGGAATAATTGGGCAGTGAGAGAAATCCCCAGTTCACTCACTGCTTCCTGGGGCTTTTGTTCATCTGCAGCTTCTCCTGGACAATTACCACCAGCTGCATAATTATATCAGGTAAACTATACATACCACGGGGCTTCTAGAAAATAGATTATGATAAGAGTAATAAAATCACACACTTGGAAAAGATAGTCCTTCTTACAAATCCCCAAATCCCTAAATTACACTGGTTTAACTAAATCACTGCCTCCCTACCCCCAGGCTTCAGGGTCCACTAAACTGTTTACTTAAAGTCAAAAGCCCTTCCATGATGGACTTCACATTGCTGGGCCGCTTCTGCCTAATAACAATGGCCCATCCCATAAATGGCCCTTGGTGCTCGTGTCTCTATGTATTTCTCTGCAATCAACATCTGGAAATGAAATCACTCAATGAAAGAATATCATACTTAAAACTAGAGTGAGTACTGCCAAGAAGACCATTATAATTATATTAATATGTAATTAATTCATTCGGTGAAAATGCGTGCTCCCTCATCCTTGCCAAAACTTGGGTGGAGATTCGAGGTACTCGGCAAAGAGGAACCGTTTTTATTTATAGTTCCTTGACTATATTAAAAACTAGTCCTCCTCCTTGTACTCACCAGCCAACTACATTCGCCAGCACAGAGGCTAGCTAGTCCTTAACTCCACTATGAGCCGACCCTCTGAGGCTCTAAATACACACACAATTTTATCTAGTGAATTAACTTCTCACTCCATCTGGAAATTATTTTTTGTGCTTGGAATAAGGCCTAATTTTGTTTCAAGTGGATAAAAACTGTAACATGGTTTACTGAAAATCCATGATTTCTTTTAGGGTTTGAAGTACCTTCACCTAAGGTCCCAATTCTCTCCCAGAAATATTCAAGGAATAATACTTCTAATTTTAATGAATTTAATATACTTTTCTTTCTACACAAAATATTTTTTTCAAAATTGTTTTTTTTTTTGACAGTTCTTAGATATTTTTCTCTATGAGAAATTTAGAGGCACCTTGCAAACTTAACTTCAAAAATTTTAGCGGGCTGTGCGGTGGTGGC